ACTCCAATTTTTTGTAAATCGTTTAAACAGTTCAGAATCAAAGCATAACGCTCCATCCGTGTATAGTATCAACGGTATGCCATGTCTAGCAAAAATTGTCTTTAATTTCTCAATGACTGTAGAACTTTTCAAATCACTTAACGATACTACTTCAATAAAATTTGATAATGAGTCCACTACTACTATATAGTATTTCTGATTTAACTCAAATATATCACAGCCTACCTCTGCCCATGGTAGCTTTGGAACCTTTTTGTATCTCATTATCTGTTTAATTTGACCATTTTGAAATTTCTGACAACTTTTGCACGACTTCACATATTTTTTTATGTCCTGATTTATTCCTTTCCAATACATCGTCATTTCAGCTCTTTTGATCATTCTATTTATGCCAGGATGACCTGTGTGCAGCTTAGTCAGCATGTATTTTCTTAAGGCTGTTGGAATTAAAATCCTATCCCCTCTAAAAATTATTTCTTTAATGACCACTAACTCCTCTTTGAATTCAAAAAACGGTTTCACCTTCTCCTCAATCTCTTTATAATTTGTAGGCCATCCTTTCAAAATGTATTGTTTTACTTTTGTTGGCCACGGATAAATTTGATCACGTTCGAAACGGCCACGTTCGAAACGGCCACGTTCGAAACGGCCACGTTCGAAACGACCACACGTTTGTAAGGGTCATGTTCGAAACGACCATACTCGGAATTAAACATTGACAGTCTACACAATCAAGAAGTACACTTAATCGACACTTCTTCGCTGTGGCCCCACACACACACACACACACACACACATACACATGCGCGCGCGCGGGGAGGTGTAAGAGTGGGCGGCCTTCGTCCCCTCCCCTCTCCCGCACCTACACCATCGGTAGGAATAGAAGGGCAGAAGTGCGCCACCGTTTCGAACGTGGCCATTATATGATTGTATCTGAATTATATTTGTTACTTATACATATTTATATATGACGCAAGACTTATATATTATTATATATTAAACTAACAGAAATCCATGTATAATTATAATCCATGTATATTAAACTGACAGAAATCCATGTTATTTATACATATTTATATATGACGCAAAACTTATATATAATTACATATTAAATTAACAGAAATTCATGTATAAGTATGCAAAATGCGCACTTATATATAATTATATGTAACAGTTATTGCACTTATATGTAAATATATATAATGACCTGTACTCTATTATTTATAATTATACATATATTTGCACAATTATACATATATGGTTTTGTAAAATTATATTCAATTCTGCATGAATATACATAAAAAATTTATTATCGGGAAGTTTATTTGATAATAATTTTTCAATAATGAGCGATGATTAAAATTTTTTACATGTTATTCTCGAGAATATGATAATCAAGTCGGGATAAAGAAATATGAAAGACGCAATATTTCCTCTGTAATAATATTGAGTTAAAAACGGTAAGAGGTGTGCTGTTAGTGGAAATTGCTGATCTGCCAATCAAAAGTGATTTTTTAAACTTTGTTCAATTTAATGGAGACCATGGTCACACTTCACAGTTATTGTAAAGATAAATTTTCACGTTTTAATTATTCCAAGAGGTTCAGTACATATTTATCGTTACGAAAATGAATTAAAATTAAGATTTTCAAATGAATGTATTGAATATGCTAATAGAGCAAATCCCGATAATCCTGTCATGGTTATAAAGAAACACATTGTTTTTTTAAATCTTATGTCAGATTTTAACGGAGGAATTGGGATTGATAGAATGCATTGCGTGAATGGCGGTGTCGCCAAAAAGATATTATTACTAGTTTGATATTAAATTTCGAACTTTTCCGTTTTCTGTGTATGCTGTCATCGATGTCATCAATAGAAGGCTTATGACAATCAAACTGTCAAAATATATGCATCGTATGCCGCGTTATATATAAGATTTACACCACCTGGAAAGCAAAATTGAAGAACATGGCTTTCATTATTCCATTCCAGTTCTCAAGAGAATTTTAAGACAAGATTATTTCAATCATTATCTTCTTCTTTTAATAGCAATATTCATATTAAATTCCGAACAAATCATTTTCCATAATAAATATTGCTCAAAATTTTTTAAATAAATTTGTATGTGAATTAGAACATTTGAATTGCAATTTTGTTCGTTTGTTTTTCTTAATATCTCTCAACTTGGTACTCCCCTGGTTTGAGTCTGTTCAATATTTTCGACACTTACCAAACAATGTTCTAAAAATAGTTCAATATTTCCGACACCTACCAAACAATGTTCTAAAAATGATCTTTCTCTTGCTTAGAATACGAGAATTTAAATGGTAAACTTTTAAAATTGGTGGAATGGAACGTGGCATATTGATGCAACACAAATTACAACAAAACGATATAATTACCGGTATAACTAGTTTATAAGAAATGATTAGATTAATAAATGAAATACCAAGAGGTTCTGTTTAGAGTAAAACCGATAAGTAAAAATAAATATTTCCAAATTGCTACAGTGTTGATGCTTATAAGAAATTACAGAGATTACAAATATTATTATTACTCCAATGTACAATACAAGAATTCCTAAAACGGTCTCATGGTGGTACTCCATATTTTACATTATTAAAAAATAACTGCTTACATGTGTCGCGTATAAAGCAGATTTACAGACAAAGTTTTCTGTTGTGAAATAAACATATAAATAATGAAGGTCAAATGCAATTCGTTGCTTTATTAAAACTATTCATCAGAATTGCAATAAAGAAAGACATTACGCGATTGTACAAAAAATTGCAATTGTGTATTTGTTGTTCGTGATGATTATAATACAACCGATATTAATTTTTTTTACAAAAATATCACAATATAGATAACTTTATAGCTATTTCCTAATGAAACTTTAAAATGTGTAAGCGTATATATGAAAATCGATAATCAAATGTAGATAGAAACGCCTATTAAAAAAGAACTAGAATAGTATATTTTTTATGTATATTTATGTATATTTATTATCCATTTTATTATATTCTAATATTAATTGCATTAGTTTGAAATAATAAGAATTATTCTCGATTTGTAAATCGAGTATTAATATATTTCGAGTATTAATATTTTATTAATATATTTTTACTGCTGAAAATTTCGATAAAATTTGAAGGTTTAAAAGAGATAAGGAGGTAAAAGTTATAAAAACAAAAATACAAGAATTCAATTTTAATAAAACTATTATATGTGCAATCTAAAATTATAAGAAAGAATTTTTATTTTTATAGAGAGATAGAAAAGTTAAAGCAAAATCTTATTATTCGAAGATCAAGATGCCTACTTATTTTGAAGGTGATATTGTCATTGCGGGCATTTCAGGTAATTATATTACCTCAAATTATAATACAACACCAATTTTATTATAAGGTGAATGTTTGTAATACATCGATATTTTTCCAGGCCGTCTGCCTGAATCATCAAACATTGAAGAATTTAATGAAAGGGACGGACATGGTCACTGAGGACGAGCGACGTTGGAAACCGGACCTTTACGGTCCACCTTCTAGATTTGGCAAACTTAAAAATCTTCACAGTTTCGACACTCCTTTCTTCAAGATATCTCCTAAACAAGCGCATGTAATGGATCCGCAACTTCGCATTATGTTAGAAATGACACATGAGGCATTGATTGATGCTGGTGTCAATCTTTCCACCTTGAAAAAATCGCGTACCGGAGTGTTCATTGGTGTTTCCGCTTCCGATGCGAATGATTTTTGGAAAACCAAACCGGACGGTAAGTACATTTTAAAACTTATCGTAAAAATTTTTACCTGTTAAAGTCATATTATGAAACAACATTCTTAAATAATTAAACCAATTTTTATATATTTAATCTTAGAAATGTAAGAAACAAGATGAAAAGTTACATTAAAATTATATTATAAAAAGATATTCTTTAGCTAAAACAGTTTGAAATATTTAATATTAAACATATATGAAATATACGTAAAAATGCATAAAGAATGATAAATTCTTTATATTGAAATATTATACAATTAAAAAAAGCATATATAAGATTTTGAAATAAATATAGGATTATAATAATTAAAACATTACTTTTTCACAAAAACATATATAAATTTAAAAATTAGATTTATAATATGTTATACATGTTATTTATATTAATGTCATATTATTTATTAAAATTAATATAAATGTTAAAATTGGCAAATAAGAGCGTTAAGGCGTGGTAATTTGAGAATAGAAAAAAATTTTTTTCTTTTTTATTAATGTAAATAAGAACTATGAATAATAACTTATTAATAATAATCATAAAAAGGAAAAAAGAGTCTGGACGATTTTAAATCATGTTTGTGTTCTTTGCTATATACAGGGTGATTCAAAATAACCCCCCTGTGTCCGTGAAATGACACATTGTTGAGTCAATTCTAAGACTATTTTTCCTTTTGCAAAATTTCGTCCGAAGCTTAGTTTTCGAATTATTAAAGAAAGTAGTTAACGCATGACGGGTCGGATACAAGAGGCAGGCAAGGGTAACGCGAGGCCCGTCAGACGCGGGGCGCCTGCTTCGATCAGCTGATCGCTATACACATACAGACAAACAGACAGACAGACAGACAGACAGACAGACAGACAGACAGACAGACAGCAGACAAAGAGAGAATGTATGTGTTCGCATGTGTCATTTTTCGATTATTTTACCTTAATACTTTTATGTACAAAATAATGAGAAGAATCAATTGGTGTATAGAAAACACATAATTGTTTCGAACAAAAAAATGTAATTTGCAATTAACAATAGTTTCACTGAATAATCACATGATAAAGATATTTCTAAAAAAACTTATCTTATACACAGATTTGAATATTTGTTTTAAATACTTGATTTTTTCGTTAGACTTTTATTAATATTTATAATAGTATTACAACAAAATTGCAAAAAATAAAATATATTTATTGCAAAAATTACAAAATATAATTACAATTAAAGTCATTTATAATACAATTGTAGATAATGAAGGAAAAGGATTTTGTTTAGATATAACTAACTTTTTATGTTGATAAGATATGTAACCTTTAATTTTGCCCTCGTATATCAAATTTGCAAGAAGACATTCTGTCTCATCCATATCTATATCCTCCATCCCATTTATTTGTAATGCTATAAGCAAACTTTGAACCGGTATTTGATGCGTATTTAGTGCTAAATATACTTTTTTGAATAAATTTCTATAAGCAATCAATTTTAATTTTTCCACAATTAAATATATACCAGCATCAATAAAAAAAATTTCATGTTTTGCCATTACTCCTTCTAAAGAACGTAAATCTCCCTTTCTTACGGATTCCATCAGCTCCCAGAATTCCATTAAATTATATTTTTCTAAAAGACTTTGTTTTGGCATATATCCTAATAACATTTTCACAGGTACAAGGTAAGTTAAAATCAATCTCTTATTTTTTGTACATTGTATATGACAATGCTCAAATGCATAAGTTAGGTATTCATCAGCTGAAATAATTAAAAATCTATTTATAATTGTGCTTATTAAGCTATAGAAAAATATACTTACCAATTTTATAATTGCTGTCAAACATTGCTTTCCGGCCAACAAAAAATTTATATGTAATTTGTTGCGCTAATGCAAAATGGTCCTTATAAGGAGATGACTCTATAGCCCGTATCAAAGGTTTACACAAATGCAATTTATTAATTCTAAAATATACTTTTAATAGTTGATTAATTAAGGCTAACATTCCCCATCGTTTTGTATCTTCTTCTGAACTTCTATTGTCAGCTGCACAAACACGGAAACAAGCCATCAAACACTCAGCACACTTCTCAAGAACTTCTCCATGCTTTATATTTTTGTTATACTTTGAATTTTCTGCACCTATTGCAGATAATCTTAATTCTAGACACATTACATTCATTACTGGCAACATCCAGTTTTCTTCCTTTTGGATTTGCAGGATCTTAGCAAGACATTGTACAGCTGAACTTTGATAATTATATATAGCAAGGGCATCATTCTTGTTCATAGCAGATACAGCTCTGAAAAAAGGAATATATAATGTAAAAAATATATATTTTTTAAATATATACATACATACATACATACATACATACATATATATATATATATATATATATATATATATATATATATATATATATTATACTCAGGTAGCAAGCACACTTTGATGTTTCAAACTGATCATTTTTAATTATATGTTGTCGAAACGATTTGTTATGTAACTTTATATTAACGTCTTGATATAATATTATTTTACATTATTATTTTGATATCATATTTCAGTCATGAACTGACAATTATATTATTATTAATGTGATTAGTTAGTACATCAATCCTATAAAAAAATCTTTTAAAATTTTTTATATAACTTTTATATGACTTTCGCAATCAGACTTTAACAATTTTTCTTTCGACACATGCATTTATCTGTGCACAATTCATATTGCTTAATCACTCAAGTGTTCATTAAATTAGTACACATTGAAAATATTAGCTATATCAATCGAGTGTAAATAAAATGTCAAAAAATATATACATTTTTTTCTACAGTTGATTGGCAAAATATATTTTTATAAAATACAGCAAAAATACAACAAAAGACATTATTTGTCAAAATTTTATATGATCTTAGATGTAAATTTGTTTATGTTTAAATAAAATAATAACAAATATAAAAGTTGTGACCTATTATCTTATCATATTTGGATTTTCCAGCTTTTTCGAATAAAGCAGTTTAATTCAAGTTTGATCAAAGATTCTTCTGAAGAATAAAATGGCTATAATTGTTTAATGATGCTCTCGAATCAGTTAATCTGCTTTATTCGACAATGCTATTAAATACTATTATTATGATAAATAAAATGCTATTATTATGATAAAAAAAACATCCAAATATGGTACATTTTATGATGTCAAAATGCAGTACACGTTATGATGTCAAGAATCTGTGACATTAGACCGTCACATTTGTCATAAAAATGTCAACTGATGACGTCAAGAATAGTCGGTGAACGACCAATATGAAACGTCAAAACGTATGCTTGCTACCCGGATATATTAAAAATAATTAATCTTACTTTAAATGACAAAGGACTAAATCATCTAATGGTGCAGATAAATGTTCTACAGCCTTGATTATAGCAGTTTCTGATCCAACTTGAGATATTGAAACATGATTGTGTCTTAGAGATAAGAAACCCTTTAAAAAAAAATGGCATTAATACATGATCTAATCATCTTTGATCAAAATATATTCGTAACTTACTGCCAATGCTTCCCCATCCTGGTTAAGCCATGTTCGTCGAATCTGAATTAAAAAATAAAGATAAAACGTCAATTGTATCATACAACTGTTCATCAATTTATCATATTACCTGCATTATATAAGAATCCATTTCGTTTAAAATATAAATAATAAATCTTCGTGCGCATAAATAATTTCCTGTCCAATGTTATTTTTCTGGAATGTCAATGGAAATCATCTGTTCTTTTTAGCTGCACTGCTGCACTAGTGCAATAAATTAGAAAGAGACAAACATACTTTCTTTCACTCTATAAAGGTGCATTTTCACATACCGTTGGAACAAATAGTTGAAGCGACAGATTTGTCGCTCATAATTCAGCAGCTACAGGGTGTTTACGACAATTAATCGAATCTCTGATCGGACTGAGCAGTGGTACTCAGCGGTAGACTTCCTAAATTTCCCTAGACTAATCCGGATCAATGATGTGTCTCTGAAGTAATCGAATTAAATTAACAGTCATCGAAAGAAATTGCGGTCTGATCGAAAAAATTGTGAAAAACATCATAAGAAATTATAGAAGATACTTTATTATTCTTTTAATTAATATATCTTTATTTATCAAATATATATTAATAAACAAATGTATTTTACTGGAATAAGGGCCGGTATTCATAGTCCGGTCTTATATTTAAGATCATCTTAAGAACTCATTCCACCAATCAAATAACTACAATGCAGCTATTGATTGGTGGAATGAGTTCTTAAGATGATCTTAAATGTAAGACCGGACTATGAATACCGGTCAAGATGTTTTCTATAAAATAAGTTGTTAATCTAATTCGATTACTTCAGAGACACACCATTGATCCGGATTAATCTAGAGAAATTTAGAAAGTATCGCTAAGTACTACTGCTCAGTCCGATCAAAAATCCGATTAATTGTCGTAAACACCCACAATTTTGTAGTTTAGATCGGTTTAATTACAAAGCATTATCGCTAGGGATGGGCGATGTTTACCGATTAATCGCAATGATCGATAGTTTTTTTTCTAATAATCGATTAATCGGTTCGATATTTTCCTTATCCGATGTATCGATGTTCGATTCTTTATATGTCAGACATCGAAGTTTTATTTTTTTTCTTATCAAAATATCTCATTGTAATAAAGCGTCGTCTCCAATGAGATTTTTAAAGGTAAAGATTTAATCTATAGAATATAATCTCAAAATTGTTAATATCATCTTATATTAAACTTTTTTATAGTGATTGTACAAAGAAATTCATAAAAATGCAAATTGTAATTTTACAAACCAAATATTTGCTCCCACTTACAAATTAAATAGTAATTTTATATTTAAGAAAGCTAAAAGTACTTTGCGCAATGTCAGATTTATGAATTAAAGTGTATTAAATGTATTAACTTTTGATATGGATGATTTGTGTAATTCCTCCTTAAAAAACACTTTTTTTGAAAAATAATCGATTCATCGATTCTTTTTGTGAATAATCGATTAATCAACATCGATTATTCAAAAATCAATTAATTCATTCGATTTTTTTTTCGTACATCGCCCATCCCTAATTATCGCTCAAATGATGTGTCAAAAGCTGACACATTGCTAACAGTGCTGCCGTGCTGTATTAATTGTATGTACTAAAATAAAAATATAATAAATTTTCCAGTTGCATTGATGACATACGAAAATAATTCAGAAATCTTGCACTTTCTAATCTCACATTCGGTAAAATAGCTTTGTAAAATCCATATTGATCATGATTTTGAAAAAGTGGCGACCCAAAATTTTTTTTTTCAATAATTCTTTTTTGTTTCTGATATGTCGATATAGTAATATAATAAAAACGATATCATTTTCAAATTGTATTTGACGTTTTCGTCGAATTATTTTATTACAATTTGATATTCAATTATAATATTTTCTTCTTTTGAAAGCTATCATCCCAGCAAACCAAAATATTACAGCTACATTGCCGCAACATTGCTGCAATGTTGTAATATTGCCACAATATTCTGTGTTTGCTAGGATTATTGCTTTCTACAGCACAATTTTATCGCTGCAATCTTTTTTCATGTGCACAAGTTGCCGCTGTGATAGTTTAGCGACAAAAGTCGTCACGTGATCATTTTTGTCGCTCAAATGATCAGTTTCAGCGGCACGTGAAAATGCACCTTTACGAATGATATATAGCGAATCGCGAATAGTGTGGAAGGTTTACACTGACGAATAACGAATCTCCCTGAATGTCCAACGAATTTCTATGAATCACGAATTACGAATCGCGCATAGTCTGGCGCTAGCTGTAGACAAATTGATCAATCATGGTTGATTATTTCAAAAATAATTATTTCAAAAATGATCAACCATGATTGGTCAACTTGCCTACGACTTACGACTTACGACTCATTGTAGAACGGGCCTTAGGGTGCTGTCACATGGCAGTCGGAATTTCGGAAAACAGAGGGTGCTTTCCATTTAGCGACACAAGTCGACACAAGTGTCATTCTATCTTTGGGTGCTTTCCAGCAAGCAACACAGGCGACACCGTGTCGCTACAGTGTCGACACAGGTGCTTTCCAACTACGACACAAGTCGACACAATCGTACACAGCAAAAATGCTGTGTTCGCCTGTGTCGTCGTTTTGTAGCACCCCCGTGAGTGCCAACATAACATTTCATATTTGGTATCATTAATTTTTTTAAGAATGGTATTGCGTGATATTGCGTCCAAAAGACATCTAAAAGACGACTTAAAGACATCTAGACGTCTTTAAGACGACATAATGTTGTGTGGGAACGTTCTGAAAATTTAGACCTAGTGACAACTATTAAAAGTGACTGCCCTGCACTCTAGTGGCAAAATAAAATAGCTAAAAAGTGTTCCAGCTACAAGTCGACACTGTGTAACACTGTGTCACACAGTGTATCACTGTGTTACCATAGCTGGAAAGCACCCTTTGTTTATTGTTATTCATTGAAAAAAGATAGAATGACGATTGTGTCGACTTGTGTCGCTAAATGGAAAGCACCCAGAATCTCGGAAAAGTATGTACTAGAATACTAGAACAAGGAATTAAACGGGATTGAATTTTTATCTTTAAAAGAAGAATTTTATTGTTAATAAATAATTGTTTGATAAATATTTATTAATGTACATATAAATATTTAATTAAAATATTTTATCATATAAAATAGTTATCATATTGTCAAGAATAAAAGTTGCGTGTTTGTCGGTCCAGTGTTTTTTTGTGGCTGGGCTGTTCATGGACTAATATTTCGGAGGATTTCGGAAATTAGTAAAAATAAAAAAATTTATTTTGATAGTTTTCCGACCAAAAAAAATAATTAATACAATAGAAAAATATATTAAAAAGTGATATTTGTATATATTGTTTATTATTGTTAACAGAAAATAAAATAAAGAAATTTTTTAATTTGAAAAACAATTTGAGGTTAGAATAACATTCCGTTTTCTGTAAAAATCACTCCATGGGGAGCGAGGCTATCAAAAAATTGGATTGGACAAAAATTCTGATTGGTTGATCACCACTCTAATACTTTTCCGAGATTCCGTTTTTCGAAATTCCGACTGCCATGTGACAGCACCCTAAGAAATTAACCAACCATAGTTGAATGTGAGAAAAATAATTGAATATGATTGGTTAGTTTCTTACTCCGTCAGTTAAAGCAAAATTGTGACCAAGAATTATCAGCGCGAATTCTGATTGGCTTTCTAACTTTTCCGATGTCTGCTTTTCCGCCAAGATGTGAATGCGCCCTTATTTTGGACAAATAAGAATTTTTAACGTGTATATTATCAGATATTTCTGTGATAATTTTTTCTTTATCCATATTACGTGTAATCGTTAGTTATCAATTATGATAGAGAAGCGTGATAACAATTTAAAATATCTATAATTGTTAAAATATATACGCCCGTTGTGCGATATGGTTAACGAAATAGTTAAAATCATATGCTATCGATTGAGAGTCTGATTGGTTAAGCCAGTATTTAATGCAAGCATGGCCGCTTTGCCGTCACCTACGCAGGTACATTGTAATTTTGACGATTTTATGAAGATATAATATTTGATACAACTCGTACACATCGAAGGAATTTCTCTTCATGAAATTTAATCGTAATCCGCGCCAAATCATTGCACTTATCGTCGAATTTTCATTCCCTCATCGTGATAGTATCTCGGATAGTTCAAGCTATCCTGATTCGATGGCGGATTATATATGTCTCTGATAAATTTTTGCTTGTCTAAAAAGAAATATTTGATTATTTCTTTATGATTTATCGATGATTTTTATCGATCATTTATGTTCGATAAAAATAAGCATTCGTAAACTTTTTGCCACTCTTTTATCGATTATTTTCTTGTCGAATTATTTATATTTACGTTATTATTTATATTTATTATATTTATTATATTTATTATATTATTTCTTCATGATTTATTGATGATTTTTATCAATCATTTATGTTCGATAAAAATAAGCATTCGTAAACTTTTTGCCACTCTTTTATCGATTATTTTCTTGTCGAATTATTTATATTTATGTTATTATTTATATTTATTATATTTATTATATTTATTAGATTATATTTATTACATTAGATTATATTTATTATTATATTTATTATATTGTTGCTTTGATTTACAAAAAATATCAGAGAATGAATATGAATATCTTTTGATTATAGGTGGCTGGAAGCCATAGCGCAATCTATGAAGCTTATTATAATCAGGTGATGAAATCTGTAAAAGAAAAAGAGCAAATATTTGTATAAAATATATAAACAGTTACATATAAATAAAAATATCTATTATTTCTAGGTGGATCCAAATGGATTTGGACAAATTGAAGCAATGGATGCTGCAAGATTTCTTAAGAAATCTCAGCTTAGTGATGTTATTCTAAGTAAAATATGGGATATGGCTGATCCACAATCACGTGGTTTCTTAGATAAATCTGGCCTCTTTGTTGCTTTGAAATTATGCGCACTAGCTCAGACAGGAAAAGACTTAAATATGTCTAATTTAAGTCTTGAATTGCCACCACCAAAAATGGTAAATTTATTTATGTATAATTTAGTTATTTATTTATGTATAATTTATTTATTTATTATTTATTTATTATCGTATAATTTATTTATTTATTCATGTATAATTTATTTATTTATTTATTATTTATTACCTGCCTATTTAACTGAATCAGATGCTACATTGTATATCTTCTTTATCAGGGAGATATTCCAATTCCACAAAAGACTATCACTAATGCTCTGCCAGTAATAACATCTGTCAATAATGGAGATTGGTCAATTAATCCTACAGAACGGGCAAAATATGATCAACTTTTTGATAGTTTACAGCCATCCAATGGATATATATCTGGACATAAAGTAAAAGGTGTTCTTATGGATAGCAAACTTCCATTAGATACTCTTGGAAAAATTTGGGATTTGGCAGATATGGACAAGGATGGTATGCTGGATAGACATGAATTTGTAGTTGTAAGTATATACTAATATGTAAAAGAACATAAAGAGTTACAAAGAGTTACTTTTATTAATTATTTATATATAAATTAAATAATCTTTTGACTGCTGTAGTATTAATTCAAGGAATATAATTAATTTGAGGAATATAATTAAAATTTGAGTAATATTAATAATATTTTTTTGTACATTGAAATATACTTTCTGTATAGAAATATATTTTTGCATTGAGATATATTTTAAGTGATAAGCATCATTGATGTTATATTAGTTATTTTCTGTAATATAACAATATGTATACAGGATATTTCAGTAAAGTTGAGCAATCTTTTGTAGGTATGTATAGCAAAAATAATAATTATAAATTCCTAAAAATATAAAAATATAAAAACATTTAAAAATATATAAAAGAAACTAATTGACTTCAAAGTTTTGTAAGTTAGAAGACTTATAAATAATCCATCCCTGGCTATCCAATGTGAAATCTATCATGATTTTTCTTTGTTTCATATAAAAATAATTAATACAATTTATTAAAATCTGAAAATATAAGGATTGTAATAAATATAAAATAATTATTACAATTTATTAAAATATGAAAATATAAGAATGATCTAAAATGATTATTTAAATATTTTTCAAATTTTAATTTTGAAGATAAATATCTTGATAGAGATATATTATAGAAGAAAATTGCATAGGAATTTATGGGATTATTTTCACTTTCTCTACCTATGAAAGGTTGTCCATCTTTATCAAAACATAATTAAATAATATATTCTTTTCTTTTTTATATAATTCTAATTATTATTGTATATAGGCTATGCATCTTGTATATAAAGCATTGGAAAAATATGCGATACCAAATGTACTTCCACCAGAATTAATGCCACTTGGTAAAAGAAAAGATATAATTCCTAAGGCTAAATCTCCTATACCAATAAGTGTAGTAGCTATAGCATCACCGTCATCGAAACCACCACCAATTCCACCTTTGCCAAATACAACGGTTGCAAAGAATTTAACTGGATTAGATGTAGTAAAAGTATTTATCTCTTGGATTATAATTAGAAAACATTATAATAACAATTCCATAATATTTCCATGTTATCAAAAATTGTTTGTGCTTTATATTTACAGACAAACATGCATCAATGGGTCGTTTCAATTGAAGATCAAATAATCGCGGAGAAACTATTTTTACAAGCTGACATGGATAGGGATGGATTTGTTTCTGGTTTAGAAATTAAAGATGTCTTCTTACAAAGTGGACTTCCACATCCTGTATTAGCACATATATGGTGAGAGAAGTAATAATCTTATAACAATTTATAAAAAATTATTAATCATGATCATAATAGAAATATGTTTAATGTAAATTAGGAGTTTATGTGATACTTGTCAAAATGGAAAATTGAATAAGGAACAATTTGCCTTAGCTATGTGGTTCATTAAGCAAAAACTTAATGGCATAGACCCTCCAGCAAATTTAACATCTGAAATGATACCACCTTCTATGAGAAAAGTTGGAGAAACTATTGTGGTAACTTTATTCAAATATTCTAGTAACAATATGTATTGTACAGTGACATCTCGAAATAGTACGCAGCATGCATGTTTTACTTTCAATAATGTGAATATGGAAATAATCTCGTTTTAATGGACTAAAGTCCTGTACAGTACACTATTTCCAGGTTCTACTGTACTTATAGAAAATTATTCATTATCTTTCGTAAGTATATGTATGTATATATACACACATGTTTTACAAATTGTTGATAAGAATGAGTAGTTTAATTTGTATTACAAAATTCTAATGGATTGTTTGTCGCGTTCGTCCTTTGAATGCTCTCCAAAATATCATTAAAATTATACCAATTATGAGAATGGCGCCAATTAAAATAATATTGTGATTTAGTTTGATTTCTATTTCTCCAGTTACATTCAACTTTATTGTTCCAACAATTTCATTATTTTGCCAGCAGCTAAGAATAAAAATTAATTTTTAAATATTACTCAGTCTACAGATTTGATTAATATTTGATTTCAGAAATTAAATGATTTATTAAAACTGTTCTTTATAAAACGGGTTATATAAAGTAAAAATCAATTTTAAATTTCTTGAGTGAATAAAAGTCATTTACAAATGAAAATGCATAAGTTTCATAGAAAATTAATTTTTCTAGAAATTAAATGGTTGATTAACATAAATTCAAAATTGAATGTTTTTATTATTAACAAACAAAATTATTTATATAAATTATTTATATAAATTATTTATATTATTTATATTAAATTGAGATTATTTTAATTACTTCGTATCATATTAAAAAAAAATTATTGTTTTATAGACAACTATTTAGTTTTTAGAGAAATTTTCTACAAAATTTACGTATTATTATATGCAACAACTTCTATTTATTCAAAAGATTTTCAATTTTATTTACCTATATATATTAGAATCCTCAAACTTTAAGGATTCAAATATTATATGAAGTTGAGTATTAATATGAATCCTTCCGTTTGATTGAAGTTGTATAAGAGATGGAATTATCAATTTGTCACCAATCTGCCAAATAATTGGGATATCTGCATTCAAGTTTCTAAAGTATTAATAAACTTGTATCATTTTTTATTTTTATTATTATTCAATAATCTTTGCAGTTAATTTTATATTACCCTGGACAGACGAGTTTGATTTTTTTGTTATATTTTTCATAAATTACATTACGTGCGATTAATGGTAATGGATGAGGTAATTCTTGAATTATGGAATATATATCAGCACTATTGTTTGCACTTTCGAGTATGTTACCTCTTTCATCATGCACTTCAAATATCATATTTTTTTGGCATTTTATCTGTATAAGAATAATTATCTATTTTTTTTTATTCATTAAATTTTTGTTAAAGTTACTGGTTCTTTATTGCAATGAATTTATAATATTAAGAAAATATTTTTTCTTTGCAGGTTGTATACATAAATTTTCTCTTTTTATATTGTAGTCATTTTTTAATATGTATATCATTTTTTATCATTCATATTATTTTCTAAAATATTCAGAGAATTGAAAATTTTTTCTTATGAATTAATAAATAATTCTAAATTTTGTTCAACAAAATAAAGTTTGTCATAAAATATTTTACTGTAAATATAACGTACATAAATTAAATTGTATTTATTTATTTATTTATGTTTTATTTATTTATTTATGTTTTATTTATGTATTTAATTATGTTTTTTACTTATTTATTTATGTAAAATTTAAAAAAAGAAATTTTTTATATTAAAAATTTTTTTAATATGAAAGGAAGAAAAATACGATATTTCTTTTTATTAATACCATAACAGTTATAGGAAGGGATTAGGAGTCTTATCTCTGGTTTTATGTAAATACCTTGCAAAATCGTCTCATAATTTCAATGCTTCTGTTCTTAATAATCGGCATTAATTGTATTTGTTTTGGTACAAAACTTGATTTGCATGGTAATTCATTTTTAAATAATAATAATGCCGTCCTTAATTGAACTTTTGGATTTGAATTTGTTGTTGCCATTTGTGGAATTATATTTTCATGCATTTCATCCCACTTATATGTTTCAGCTTAAAGTAGAATTAGCAAAAGTTTAAAAGAAAGTTTATTTTTTTATTTACCTTTTGTAATATATATATCGATTATTAATGTACTTTTATTAATGAAATATCTATTTATTGATGTTTCTAAGAGGGAAATAGTGCAGTAGCCATATCGAAGCTTTATTCCAACTGCATCACACACAGAGCAGGGACTCCAAATTGTCCAACTAGTGTAAATTTTTAACTTATAATCCAGCATTTCAATTGATGCTGCTTGTGGCATTTGAAATGTTATATTTGAATATAAGTTTTTCGCCTCGCTATCGACATGTAAATAATGAATTAGTCCCACAGTATCTCCTATTTCACACCAATATACTCCCGCTTGCTCTAACTTAAAAAAAGAAGATTTGTTTCTTACATATAATCTTAGTGTATTTGCATATCACACACACACACACACACACACACACACACACACACACACACACACACACATATATATATATATATATACAGAGTGTCCCAAAAGTCTCGGACCGATCGAATATTTTATAAACTATGCACTTTAGAAAGAAATGTTTCAAACAAAAGTTGTATGGCTTGAAGGGCCATCAGATAGTGGCAATGATTTGACATGAGAGAATCATTTGAAAGTCACGTAAAGATTACCGTCAATTTCTTAAATGGAACTCCCTATTTTTTATTAAATATTCTGGTAGCTCACGTCGAGAGCTTTCCAAAACATTATAATTAAGTTAGTTTTCATTAAGTACTTTCCGAATTATAAGGCTTGAAATCATTTCTTAATTTTACATAAACCGTAAAATATCTTGTAAAATATTCATTTTTCGATTATCTTACCTTAGTACTTTTATGTACAAAATAATGAGAGGAATAAATTGGTGTAAAGAAAAAACATAGTTGTTTTTAAGAAAAAAATATGTAATTTGCAATTAACAATTACATATTTTTTTTTTAAAAACAACTATGTGTTTACACCAATTGATTCCTGTCATTATTTTGTACATGAAAGTATTAAGATAATCGAAAAATGAATATTTTACTAGATATTTTATGGTTTATGCAAAATTAAGAAATGATTTCAAGCCTCATAACTCGAAAAGTACTCAATGAAGAAATACTTTATTATAGTGTTTTGGAAAGCTCTCGAGATAAGCTACACAAATATGTAATAAAAAATAGGGAGTTCCATTTAAGAAATTGAAGGTGACCTTTACGTCACCTTCAAATGACTCTCCAAGATCAAATCATTTAGTGGCATTGCCACTAACTAATGGCCCCCTTCAAGCCATACTTTTGTTTGAAACATTTCTTTCTAAAGTGCATAATTTATGAAATATTCGACCGGTCCGGGACTTTTTGGACACTCTGTATATATATATATATATATATATATATATATATATACACTTTGAATTTACTTTGACATTATACATGATGATATATTGGCTATCTGGTGAATTAAAAATGTAATCAGTATTTTGTATTGCATTTTTAACAGTACTGTTGTTATCGCTATTGAAATACCATTTTATTAAATTAGCCATGTGTATTTCCACAGGCGAGATGCAAATTTGACATTTCAAACTGTAAATTAAATTTCACACAAACTTTTTAGTTTTATCATAATTACATATTATAAATTTTTTCGCGATTATCTTCATTAAACGCACGTTACAGATGTTCCTTCTAATGCTGTGAGTGCATGCGGATAGATGATTTTTTCATACCCTATATTTGCATATATTTCTTTTAAACAATTGTAATAATTTAGCCATTGTTGTTTATGTAATTGTCTTAAAGTTTTGTTAGTTCTTGGATATTCATATTTATTAATATTCAGAAATATGTCTTCATCTAAATTTATAAAAAATTATTATATATAAAATAAATTCAAGTTATTTAAATGTATATAATTATCCATGTATCAAAATACCCTTACCTTGTTTGTTATGAAATAACAACTTTTTTCGCAATTCTTTATATTTATTAAATAAATTTGGTCTTTGCAGAACTAAAGATATATTACTTAAATAGCAAACTAACACAGATAACACATATATCTTCATAATTATTATTCATGAAGCCACTATGAAGTTATTCACTAATGAAGTAAAATGTCGATCCTGTCAATTTTTATAAACTTGTTTTTAATACTTAAAACTTAAATAAAAGCTTTAAAATAAAATAAAATAATATTATATAAAATTTAAAATTTGCACTTTTTTTTAAAGATATTACCAATAGATGAATAAATAGATTTTTATTTTTTGTCTGTTTGGGCCTTTAAAAAGCTTTTTAAACTTATTTTATTTCCTTTTTTTTTTTTAGATTTTTTGACTTTATGTTTTTTGTCTCTACAATTTTCTTCATTTTTTCCAACTGATTTATTTTTTCCCAATTATATGAAATTTATTTATATAAAATTATTATATTAATTACTAACAATTTATGAATTATTACAACATTAACAAATGAAAATTGTAATTTAATTGTAATTTTTTTTTATATTAAGTAAATTGAAATCCTTGTAGTTTGTAATTATATCTTTTCTGTAATATAGATTAATCTTAAAAAATATATACCGTATTGCATAAGAGATATATAATGATCAGAGAGATATTAATATATTTGAAACATATTTATATTGCAGGAAAACAATAATATATCAGGTTATTCAAATCCAGAGCTAGATATGATAAGTAAAGACATAGCAGAACTTGTACGTGAAAGACAAAACATGGAACAAGATATAGCCCAAAAAGAAGCAGATATTAAAATAAAAAATGGAGAAATTAAGAGCCTTCAAAGCGAATTGGACACTCTTGCGGCAACTTTGAAACAGCTCGGAAATCAAAAGGGTGAGGCGCAGAAGAGATTAAACGATTTAAAAGCGCAGGTAAACAACAGTTTGGTAATGTATTCTTCACTAATGGCTTGCTTAGTGAATGTGCTTTTTAGATGCAACTGTTTGCAGTGCACATGCAGTTGCTGTTTATACAGGGTGTCCGGTAATAACTGTATCATTTCTCATGTGCAGATAGAGTAAGTTAAACTGAGTAGGAAAGTCCTGTCGCAATTTTCGCAATAATAATTAATTAGTAATTACCACGACATTTTGTATATCGCCTTTTTAAAACAATTCCGATTTTTTATGACAATAATCTTTAATGAATGTAATAAAATAATAATAAATAGGAAATGTATTTTTATTTTGCATACACAAGTATATAGGATGAGCCATTTTACGATACCCACCCCAATAACTTTTTTATTTTTGAATGTACAACAAAATGTTTCAAATAAAAGTTGCTTGATTTCGAGGGGGACAGAACATGATGGCAAAATTTTGACCTTGGATAGTCATTTAAAGGTTACATAAAGGTCATCTTCAATTTCTTAAATGGAACCTACTATTTTTCATTGCACATTCTTGTAGCTTATCTCGAGAGCTTTCCAAAACACTATAATTAAGTTAGTTTTCATTAAGTACTTTCCGAATTATGAGGCTTGAAATCATTTCTTAATTTTACATAAACCGTAAAATATCTTGTAAAATATTCATTTTTCGATTATCTTACCTTAATAAATTTATGTACAAAATAATAAGAGGAATCAATTGGTATAAAGAAAACATACAGTTGTTTTTAAGAAAAAATATGGAATTGTTAATTGCAAATTACATATTTTTTCTTAGAAACAATTATGTGTTTTCTTTACACCAATTGATTCCTCTCATTATTTCGTACATAAAAGTATTAAGGTAAGATAATCGAAAAATGGATATTTTACAAGATATTTTATGGTTTATGTAAAATTAAGAAATGATTTCAAGCCTCATAATTCGAAATGTACTTCATGGAAAAATAATTTATTATAGTATTTTGGAAAGACTCTCGAGATAAGCTACAAGAATATGCAATGAAAAATAGTAGGTTCCATTTAAGAAATTGAAGGTGACCTTTATGTGACCTTCAAATGACTATCCAAGGTCAAATTTTTGCCACCATCTTCTGTTCCCCTCGAAGTCAAGTAACTTTGAAACATTTTGTTGTATATTCAAAAATAAAAAAGTTATTGAGGTGGGTAACTTAAAATGGCTCACCCTGTGTATACAGGGTGATTCATTTTAATCGCCCCAGGCGGATATTTCAAATGCTGTTGAGTTTAGAGAAAAATGTTTCAGACAAAAGTTGTATGGTTTCAAGGGGGACTTAAGATGGTACCATTGGTTTGACCTTGAAGAGTTATTTGAAGGTCACATGAAGGTCACCTTCAATTTCTTAAACGGAACCTATATTTTCTCTTTACATATTCTTGTAGCTTATCCCGAGAGCTTTCCAAAACACTATAATAAAGTACCTTTTCGTTAAGTACTTTTTGAGTTATAAGGCTTGAAATCATTTCTTAATTTTACATAAATCATAAAATATCTAGTAAAATATTCATTTTTCGATTATCTTACCTTAATACTTTTATGTACAAAATAATGAGAGGAATCAATTGGTGTAAAGAAAACACATAGTTGTTTCTAAGAAAAAATATGTAATTTGCAATTAACAATTACATATTTTTTCTTTAAAACAACTGTATGTTTTCTTTACACCAATTGATTCCTCTCATTATTTTGTACATAAAAGTATTAAGGTAAGATAATCGAAAAATGAATATTTTACTAGATATTTTATGATTTATGTAAAATTAAGAAATGATTTCAAGCCTTATAACTCAAAAAGTACTTAACGAAAAGGTACTTAATTATAGTGTTTTGGACAGCTCTCGAGATTAGCAACAAGAATATGTAAAGAGAAAATGTAGGTTCCATTTAAGAAATTGAAGGTGACCTTCATGTGACCTTCAAATAACTCTTCAAGGTCAAACCAATGGTACCATCTTATGTCCCCCTTGAAACCATACAACTTTTGTCTGAAACATTTTTCTCTAAACTCAACAGCATTTGAAATATCCGCCTGGGGCGATTAAAATGAATCACCCTGTATATATATATATATATATATATATATATATATATACAGGGTCTACCAAAAGTGTGGAAACCCCTAAATATCTCGGAAAATATACGTTTTACAGAAAAGTGTTTCCAACAAAAGTTGTAGGGTTTAAGAAGATCTATATACTGATTCTATCAGTTTGACCTTGGATGGCGTCGTCAAGGTCAGGTCAAGGTCACATTGACTTTTTTAAATGACACCCCCTACATTTGATTGCATATTCTTATAGCTTAATTCAAGAGCTTTCCAAAACACTATAATAATGTTCATTTTTATTAAGTACTTTGCGAGTTATGAGGATTGAATGATAGAGTAGCGCCGGTATTAACATTATCCAAGGTGTACTACATGGAGGTTACTCGCTCGGATTTGCATCTGTTGTGTGTGTGATCCAGCTAACTAAGGCAAGATCGGTCGTGGATCCAGTCAGCAAAAGCAAAGACCCAACCAAATTACAATCGAGCATTTAAAGACCTGGAAAGCAATCGACATAGTAAACAGTAAATAAATTTGTGGATGCTCATTTATCATAATAATTGTTCGAAATGTGTGCGTGTGCGTGCGTGCGGTGCGTGTATACAGAGATCAGGTTAGGTTGCACCAAACGATTGCAAATGTGTTTCAATGTGTTAAAGTAAATGCTGAAAGTGGCTGCCATTTACTTCCTGACAATATGCTAATCTTTGGTAGAATGTAGAAATGACTTTACGATTCGTTTCAAAAGGTATCAAAGCCATTTCATCCCTTATTCGCTGTATCAATTCGTGAATGGTTTTAGGTTTTGTTCTGTAAACCTTACTCTTCAGATATCCCCATAGATAATAATCAAGAGGAGTTAGATCTGGTGACCGAGGTGGCCAATCCTCTCCTCCCTCATTTCCGTTCCTTCTTCCTATCCACCGTAGCGGAAAAGTCTCATTTAAAATACGACGTGGTCCTGCACCAAAATGAGCAGGAGCTCCATCATGCTGAAACCATATTTCTTGGAAATTATTTGGAAAAGTATTCTGTATGGCTGGAATTATTTGATCAACAAGTAATCTCTCATACCTTTGAGCGTTCAAATATTCTTCAAAAAAAAACGGCCCTATTAAATAGCCATCTATTATTCCGCACCATACATTTATTTTTTGTGGATGTTGTGTGTGAGTTTCCCGCACCCAATTCGGATTCTCATCTGACCAGAAACGAAAATTTTGATTATTAACTTCTCCCGTTAAGGTAAAAGTTGCCTCGTCTGTGAAAACAATTTGATAAGGGAAGATGGGCCGGACATCTATTAGTGCCATTATTCTTTCACAGAAATGTATACGACGCTCCTCATCTCCGTTTTGCAATTCTTGAACGTATTGCAATTTATATGGATGGAACTTGTTCTTCTTTAAAATTCTCCAAACCGACATGGGAGCAATATCGTGAGTTTGAGCGACTCTCTGAACACTAGAATTGGGATCTTCAATAAATGTCTGCAGAACATCAAGTTGTTTTTCTTCGTTGGTTGCAGACAATGGTCTTCCTGACTTAGAGCGATTTCTTACGCTACCAGTTTGTCTAAAACGTTCTATTGTTTTTAACACAGTGGACTTATTAATTCGACGGTTCGGATACGTGTCATTAAATAATCGAACGACATCAGAGAACGATCTTTCGTTATCACCCCATCCACGCATCATGAGGATAGTGATTCTTTCACGTTCCGACAAGTCGCCAGCCATTTTTAAAACGTTTAATTTTAATTAATCGTACGTTGTATTTGGACGATAACAATTAATTTCTGCTTGCTCAAAGCTGAAGTTAGAAGGTGCTCGTTCTTTGATAGCTTTATACATTCTTAGTTGAATTTTAAATGCGAGTTAGACTGCATGTAGTGCGTCACATAGCGGTAAATGAAGGAACTAACGAGACGTTTCATACACGTTTTATGGAGCAATTTTTTGGCAATTTGACTTCAGCGAAATATGAGGATATGTTGAGGAATCGATCTTGCCTTAGTTAGCTGGATCACACACACAACAGATGCAAATCCGAGCGAGTAACCTCCATGTAGTACACCTTGGATAATGTTAATACCGGCGCTACTCTATCATTCAACCCTCATAACTCGCAAAGTACTTAATAAAAATGAACATTATTATAGTGTTTTGGAAAGCTCTTGAATTAAGCTATAAGAATATGCAATCAAATGTAGGGGGTGTCATTTAAAAAAGTCAATGTGACCTTGACCTGACCTTGACGACGCCATCCAAGGTCAAACTGATAGAATCAGTATATAGATCTTCTTAAACCCTACAACTTTTGTTGGAAACACTTTTCTGTAAAACGTATATTTTCCGAGATATTTAGGGGTTTCCACACTTTTGGTAGACCCTGTATATATATATATATATATATATATATATATATATATATCTGTGTGTATGTATGTATATATACAGGGTGTTCTAGACTACCCATACATCCCTTTTCTTTCAAAAACTAAGCATTTTAGAGAAAAACGTTTTCGACAAAAATTGTATGGTTTTGAGGGGAACATAAGATGGTGTCATTGGTTTGACCTTGGCATCGTTAAGGTCAGGTCAAGGACACCTTTAATTTCTTAAATGGAACTACCTATTTTTATTGCATATTCTTATAGCTTATGTCGAGAGCTTTCCAAAACACTATAATAAAGTATTTTTTCATAGAGTACTTTTCCATTTATGAGGCTTAAAATATCTTAATTTTACATAAACTATAAAATATCTAGTAAAATATTTATTTTTCGATTATCTTACCTTAATACTTTTATGTACAAAATAATGAGAGGAATCAATTGGTGTAAAAAAAAACACATAATTATTCCGAAGAAAAAATATGTAATTTGCAATTAACAATTACATATTTTTTCTTAAAAACAACTGTGTGTTTTCTTTATCAATTGATTCCTCTCATTATTTGTACATAAAAGTATTAAGGAAAGATAATAAAAAAATGAATATTTTACTAGATATTTTATGGTTTATGTAAAATTGAAAAATTATTTCAAGCCTCATAATTCGAAAAGTACTCAATGAAAAAATACTTTATTATAGTGTTTTGGAAAGTTCTCGACATAAGCTATAAGAATATGCAATAAAAAATAGGTGGTTCCATTTAAGAAATTAAAGGTGTCCTTGACCTGACCTTAACGATGTCATCCAAGGTCAAACCAATGACCATCCAAACCATCTTATGTTCCCCTCAAAACCATACAATTTTTGTCGAAAACGCTTTTCTCTAAAATGCTTAGTTTTTGAAAGAAAAGGGGTGTAAGGGTGGTCTAGAACAACCTGTATATGTGTATATGTGTATATGTATATATAAAATAAAAAATAATAATAGAAAGCTTAAGAGCAAAGCTTAGAAACAACTACAGATTACATATATAAGTGTTAATACTTATGGATGCTATTAAAATAGTAGTTACATTTATTTTAATTTATTATTTTTTTTTATTATTTTATTAATTTTTTTTATTATTTTATTATTTTATTATTTAATTTCCACATATTGTTTCCATATATCAGATACTCTTTTACATTAATATATGAAAATATGATTAATTATGATTAATTATTAAATCGAATGATATATTTTTTTGAAAAAAAAAGAAAAAAATAAAGAAAAGCATTAATTATTTATTTATTTTGTTTATCATTTTTTTATGATTTTGTTTTTTTTATGTTTTGGCTTGTAGAAGACTGAAGTAGATAGAGATTTGAGTGAAATCGAAGAGAAGATACAGGAAGAACTGAAAAAGGTACATAAAAGATCACAGTACATCGCGAATTATTTAGTACATTTATAATTCATGTTCAGTGTATGTGTGTGCGTGCGTGCGTGCGTGCGTGCGTGTGTGTGTGTGTGTGTGTGTGTGTATCCTTTACACAATTTTAGAAAATAAGTTTCGGATGAAAAACTTTCTTTTCTCTTTTCTCTTTTTCTTACTTATTTTTCTAACAAGGGGAACACATTAAGCAGTGGAATCATCGATTTCGTTCAACTTACAATATATCATAGTTCCATCCTCCCACTAAATCATCTAAAACTAATACGACGCATCTCTCAAATATTTGTGAGAAAAACGCGTTTAAAAATTTACGTGTTCGTTATGTACCGTACAGAAAAGACAGATTTTCAGCTAGTGACGTAGCGTAGCGTGTGAGCCGCTCGACCAGGTGTTCCCCTTGTGAGATTCATATTATTGATATGCGTTATATATGTATATATTTAAAAAAAATATTTATATGGAAGTAAATAAAACTTGCATTTTTTATCATATGTATAAAAAATTACATTGTTATAATACAAAACATGTTCAGATAACGCTAATGCATTATTAGTGCTTTGCAAGTATGCATGAAAACTATTTTATTCTTTCTTTAAATATACAAAATGAAAATATTGTATATTGTATATATAGGGTGTTTCATTTTAATCGCCCCAGGCAAATATCTCGAAAAATATGGAAATTATGAAAAAATGTTTCGGACAAAAGTTGTATGGTTTCGAGGGGGTCATAAGATAGTAACATTGGTTTGACCTTGAACAGTCATTTGAAGGTTACATAAAGGTCACCTTAAATTTCCTAAATGGAACATTCTATATATTATTGCATATTCTTGTAGCTTATCTCGAGAGCTTTCCAAAACACTATAATAAATTATTTTTTCATGAAGTACTTTTCGAGTTATAAGGCTTGAAGTCATTTCTTAATTTTACATAAACCATAAAATATCTTGTAAAATATTCATGTTTCGATTATCTTACCTTGATTTTATGTACAAAATAACGAGAGGAATCAATTAGTGTAAAGACAACACATAGTTGTTTCTAAGAAAAAATATGTAATTTGCAATTAACAATTCCATATTTTTTCTTAAAAATAACTGTATGTTTTCTGTACACCAATTGATTCCTCTCATTATTTTGTACATAAAAGTATTAAAGTAAAATAATCGAAAAATAAATATTTTACAAGATATTTTATAGTTTATGTAAAATTAAAAAATTATTTCAAGCCTTATAACTCGAAAAGTAATTCATGAAAAAATAATTAATTATAGTGTTTTGGAAAGCTCTCGAGATAAGCTACAAGAATATGTAATGAAAAATAGTAGGTTCTATTTAAGAAATTTAAGGAGACCTTTATGTGACCTTCAAATGACTGTTCAAGGTCAAACCAATGTTACTATCTTATGGCTCCCTCGAAACCATACAACTTTTGTCCGAAACATTTTTTCATAATTTCCATATTTTTCGAGATATTTGCCTGGGGCGATTAAAATGAAACACCCTGTATCAACATAAATTGAAATGCACACATTTTTTTATTTTTATATTAATCATATAAATATATAACATATATAAAAGTATATTAGTTAAAAATAAATTATTATTCTATTTTATTTTATTTTATTTTTATGCACACAAATTTTAAAATATACATACTTCAAATTTATACAAGAAATCAATTAAAATTTTCATAAATTAAATTTTATGTTCATAAGGTTGATAAACTTCGTCAACAAGCTGAAGAACAGGAATCAGTTTTAAAAATTCAAGAGGATGAACTGAATCTCAAGAGACAAGAACTTGAGGGATTGCGACAAGAGGAACAGCAATTGGAACAGCAGCAGAATAAAAACAGGGACCAACTAAATGAGCTCACCAAAAAATTACAAGATACTCAATTAGAAATTTGTCAAGCAAAAGCAAAGATTACACATCTGCAAGAGCAACAACGTCAAATGAGCGATGTCATTGCACTTTATGATTCCGCCCTTGCCGCGGGAAATGTTGATCTTGTACCTGATACTAGTCTACAATTTATACCCGAAATCGAAGATATAGAGTGCGTATGCAGTTTCATTTAAATATTAATTAATTTTTTTATGAAAATTATATATAAAAAATATAATAATAATACTATAATATTGATATCTTTATGTACATACACACACACACACACACCCATCCACACACACACGCACACACACACGCACCCACCCACACACACACACACACACACACACACACACACACACACACACACACACACACACACACACACACACACATATGCAGGGTGACTGAAACTACTTTTCGTATATTTGAAGTGTGAAGGTACATTGGCTCAAATTAAGAAGGAAGGTCCTCTACTGTTTGGCAATATTTGCAATAATTAACGAAAAATTAATTAATGAAGATCAGCCAATGCGCATGGCTGGAAGGGAGCGATGAGCGCGGCGAAGGCTCCTCCCCTTCGCAATTACCACGCCGCTACGCGCTTCTAGCCACGCGCATTGGTCCATCTGCTTTAATTAATTTTTCATTAATTATTGCAAATATCGTAAAATAGTAGAGAACCTTTCTTCTTAATTTGAGCCAATCTACCTTCCACACTTCGGATGTGCGAAAAGTTTTCAGTCACCCTGTATACAGGGTGTTTCATTTTAATGTCCCACCCGAAATAACTTTCTTATTTTTAATTTTAGAAAAAGATGTTTCTGACAAAAGTTGTATGGTTTCTAGGGGAACATAAGATGGTGCCATTAGTTTGATCTTGAAGAGTCACATGAAGGTTACATGAAGGTCATTTTGAATTTCTTAAGTGGAGCACCCTATATATTTTTGCATATTCTTGTAGTTTATCTCGAGAGCTTTCCAAAACTATAAATAAACACTATAAATAAACATTTTTTCATCAAAGTACTTTTTGAGTTATGAAGCTTGAAATCATTTCTTAATTTTACATAAACCATAAAATATCTTGTAAAATATTCATTTTTCGATTATCTTACCTTAATACTTTTATGTACAAAATAATGAGAGAAATCGATTGGTGTAAAGAAAACACATAGTTGTTTTTTAAAGAAAAATATATAATTTGCAATTAACAATTACATTTTTCTTAAAAATAACTATGTTTTTCCTTTACACCAAATGATTCCTCATTATTTTGTGTATAAAAGTATTAAAGTAAGATAATCGAAAAATGAATATTTTACAAGATATTTTATGGTTTATGTAAAATTAAGAAATGATCAAGCCTCATAACTCAAAAAGTACTTGATGAAAAAATGTTTATTTATAGTGTTTTGGAAAGCTCTCGAGATAAGCTACAAGAATATGCAAAAATATATAGGGTGTTCCATTTAAGAAATTCAAAATGACCTTCATGTAACCTTTATGTGACCTCTTCAAGATCAAACTAATGGCACCATCTTATGTCCCTCTAGAAACCATACAACTTTTGTCTGAAATATCTTTTTCTAAAATTAAAAATAAGAAAATTATTTGGGGTGGGACATTAAAATGGGACACCCTGGATACACTCGCACGCACACACACACGAAGATATCGATATAATTATCATAAAAAAATAAATTTATATATATATATATATATATATATATATATATATATATACAGAGTGGGGCATTTATCTTGAGACAAGATAATATCTCGATTGGAGTCGATTATTTTGAAAAAAGTTTTGGACAAAAGTTGTATGGTTTCAAGGGGGACATAAAATGGTGTCATTAGTTTGATCTTGAAGAGCCACCTGAAGGACACGCGAAGGTCAGCTCCAACTTTTTAAATGGGACACCCTATATGCTTTTGCATATTCTTGTAGCTCATCTCAAGAGCTTTCCAAAACACTATAATTAAGTTAGTTTTCATTAAGTACTTTCCAAGTTATGAGGCTTGAAATCATTTTTTAATTTTACATAAACCGTAAAATATCTTGTAAAATATTCATTTTTCGATTATTTTACCTTAATACTTTTATGTACAAAATAATGAGAAAAATCAATTGGTGTAAAGAAAACTCATAGTTGTTTCGAAAAAAAAAATGTAATTTGCAATTAACAATTACATATTTTTTCTTAAAAATAACTATGTCTTTTCTTTACACCAATTGATTCCTCTCATTATTTTGTACATAAAAGTATTAAGGTAAAATAATCGAAAAATGAATATTTTACAAGATATTTTACGGTTTATGTAAAATTAAAAAATGATTTCAAGCCTCATAACTTGGAAAGTACTTAATGAAAACTAACTTAATTATAGTGTTTTGGAAAGCTCTTGAGATGAGCTACAAGAATATGCAAAAGCATATAGGGTGTCCCATTTAAAAAGTTGGAGCTGACCTTCGCGTGTCCTTCAGGTGGCTCTTCAAGATCAAACTAATGACACCATTTTATGTCCCCCTTGAAACCATACAACTTTTGTCCAAAACTTTTTTCAAAATAATCGACTCCAATCGAGATATTATCTTGTCTCAAGATAAATGCCCCACCCTGTATATATATATATATGTATGTATGTATGTATGTATGTATTTATGTATATATGTAAAAAAAATAGATATGAAACAAAAAATACCAACGAAACAAAGGAAACGAAAGTGGATACTTTTTCTGATGGGATTGCTACTTTAGATGAATTTGAAGAACAAGATCTTTTTGCAACGAATAAAGCCAAAGAAGCATTTAGCACACCGGTATCTGATCCATTTGGAAATGCATTCTCTGCGCAGCCATCTAATGTAAGTTTTTCTTCAACTGCGTTCTGGCAATCATACATTTATAATATTTATTCTCCCGCGTTTCGATTTTTAACTTATACTAATATAAAAAATCTATAGGGTAATTTTACAACAGATCCTTTTACCGCTTTTGACAATACCAATACAATAACTAAGCAAGATCCTTTTGATCCATTTGATAATGGAAAACAGGACGAAAACAAAACTTCTACAATTGCGACATCAGTATGTAAAATTTCTATATCTATGAATATATTTTATACATATACAGGGTGTTCCATTTTAACTTTGCCATCGAAATATCTCGTAAAGTCTAAAAGATACGAAACAATGTTTCAGACAAAAGTTGTATGGTTTCAAGGGAGACATAAGATGGTGCCATTAGTTTGATCTTGAAGAGTCATGTGAAAGTCTCCAACTTTTTAAATGGGACACTATATGCTTTTGCATATTCTTGTAACTCATCTCGAGAGCTTTCCAAAACACTATAATTAAGTTAATTTTCTTTAAGTATTATCCGAGTTATGAGGAATTATTTCTTAATTTTACATTAACCATAAAATATCTAATAAAATATTCATTTTTCGATTATCTTACCTTAATACTTTAATGTACAAAATAATGAGAAGAATCAATTGATGTAAAGAAAACACATAATTGTTTCGAAAAAAAAATGTAATTGTTAATTGCAAATTACATTTTTTAAGATAATCGAAAAATGAATATTTTACAAGATATTTTACGGTTTCAAGATGAGCTACAAGAATATGCAAAAGCATTATAGGGTGTCTCATTTAAAAAGTTGGAGGTTAGGTTGGAGGTGACCTTCACGTGACCTTCAGGTGACTCTTCAAACTAATGGCACTATCTTATGTTCCCCTCGAAATCATACAACTTTGTCTGAAACATTTTTTCGTCTTTTAGATTTTACGAGATATTTCGATGGCAAAATTAAAATGGAACACCCTGTATTTTATATCGTATGAAGACAAAAAATAAAATGCTTATATAATTTTTTATTTCAAGAACGCGAAGGATCCATTCGGTGATGATCCTTTTGCAAATCTTCATGCTCCACCGCGTCCTGAAAGCCCTAGTCCTGCTCTTCCACCGAAGAAGGCGAAACAACCACCTCCACGACCTGCTCCACCACGACCAAGTCAAGGTCCTACTGGTCCATTAAGAGCAGCACCGGCTCCTCCAACGCCTTCACCTACACCGGATCCATTTACAAATGTAAATTCAGATCCATTTAGTGTTCAACAAACGACGATCGATAACAATAATACTTTCGCATCTTCGACTGGATTTGCTGATTTCACCAATTTTGATTCTAAGGTATGTATTTAGCAATATCCTGTTTTTAAACAGGTTTTTAATCATTTCTATTATAAGTTTTTCTTTTATTATTTTTTTTTAATATCTCATCTTCAAATAATTGTTTCAACATATGGCACATATTTTTTTTTTAAATTGAGCCATTTTAATCAATTCACTAGAAGATCTTATAGCCTTTATGTTTTAAACATTTCAGACAATAATTGTGATTTTAAGGGGGACATAATGTGATGACAATAATGACCTTGGATAATCGTTTGAAAATCATCTTTAATTTTTTAAATGGAATTCCCTATTTTTTATAACAAATTCTTGTAGCTTATCTTAAAAATTTTTCAAAACTAATATATATTTTTTTATTAAATACTTTTCGAATTATGAGAATTTGAAATAATTTCTAAATTTTACATTAAACTATAAAATATCTCGTAAAATATGCATTGTTCAATAATCTTATCTCAATATTTTTATGCATAAAATAATGAGAGCAATCAATTGATTAATAAAAACAATTATTTTTAAGAAAAAATATGTAACTGTTAATTGCAAATTATATACATATATATTTTTTTAAAGATAACTGTGTTTTTTTTACACCAATTGATTTCTCTCATTATTTTGTACATAAAAGTTTTGAGCTAAAATTATCAAAAAATGAATATTTTACGAAATATTTTATTATTTATATAAAATTATGAAAATTTTAAATCTCATAACTCGAAAAATATCTAATAAAAAAAAAATATTTTATAGTGTTTTGAAAAGCTCTCGATATAAGCTACAAGAATATGCAATAAAAAATCGAGTTTCTTTTAAAAAATTACAGATGACTTTCACGTGATTTTCAAACGACTATACAAGGTCAACTTATTGTTATCATTTTATGTCTTTCTTGGAATACAATTATTGACCGAAATGTTTTTGCTACAAACATAAAAGCTATAAAAATATTTTAGTGAATTGCTTAAAATGGCCCTTTTTAATTTCATATTTAATTTCATTATTGGTACATGCCTAGGAATTTTAGTTTTAAGATATTGTTTAGCATTAATGAAAATTTTACACATACAAGATGTTAATTAATTTGGGCTTACTAGACATACTTACATAACAATATTCTTTAATAAAAATCTAATCGAAAAATTCTCTCAATCATTTTTTTCCTGCGATGCTTAATAAATAAAAAATTATTAGATAAAATTTATTTAATTAATGTTATTAGCATTGTTCGTTACACAGATATGTCTATGAGTTGCGCGGTTGATAGTGTGCATCTGCATAATATATATTTTTTAAACTAATTCCTTTTTTGTTGAATATTGTAAAAAAAATTCAGAACTTTTGAACTTATTTTTGATAATTATACAAAGATAAAGAGCTACTCCCGATTTCAATAATTCTCACATATGTTATCAAGGTCATCACTCTAAATATCATGAAAGTTTCAGTTGATTATTATTAGCTCGTTATGTATTAAAAATAATTAACAAAAGTTAAAATGGTTTATAATTAATCATCTTTAGAGAAAGTTAAGTATCATTTTATAATGTATAATGATTCCATAAAAAACACGTAGGCTGGAGAGGAATTCCGTTCCTCCTTCTACATCTCCATCTCAAAAAAACTAATTCAAACGTATTTCCAGTGTTTGCTATAGATAATTTCAAAATTATCTAGATAAAGATAAAAATCTGTAAATGTATTTTAGATGAGATAAAGATGATTTTGCTTTTACTTAATCTAGATGAAAGATGAGATAATTATTGCGATTATCTAGATAATTATCTAGATATTTTTGTTTATTTTAGAAGACTATAAATATTTGTAAAAAATGTGACGCAGATTATAAATGGGATATTAAAACATAAACACATATTCTTTTTCTTTTCCTAAAGAATATTTAAATAATAGCAAAAAGGTATATAAATGATATGATAAATATTTATTTATTAATTTATATTTTTAATATATTTATAATATATTTATAATATATCAATAATAATAATATAAAAAATATATTTTAGATATTTTAGATAGATTTTTAGAAGCTTGCCTGGAAAACTTTTTTGCATAATGAAAACGTCATCTTAGGCAATTTTTAGATAAGATGACATATTTTTCATCTAAGATAAAGATAAAGATACTTTGTATTTCTTCATCTAGTTAAAGATAAAGATGATCCATTTCTTTATCTAGATGATTATCTAGATAATTTTATCTAGATACCAGCAAACACTATTTCTAATATTGAATTTGGCTTAAGTTAATTTTTTTGGGATGGAATGCAGAGGGAAGGACGAAGTTCCTCCATCTATGCATTTTCTACTGAATCATTATACAATTCTATATAGAGTATAGGTTTTTAATTTTATAAGGCGAAGTCTATCCTACATCTCTAGTAGAATACACTGTTGATGCGAGTTGCTGCAACTAGACACATCTCGAATACTTTGAACGTTTTCGTTTTCATCTTCAATGCTTCCATGGAGCAATCAATTAGCGTTACCGATGTTGTTAATATTAGTCAAATTGATCGGTTTAAAATATTATCTAAATATTATCGAACAATTTGAATAAATAAATATTGTAAATAATAAATATAATTAATATACAGACGTGAATAAAAGGATATTATTGCAATGTGTATTGCAAAAAGTTACGTAGAATAATTGTATCTATCATGATAATTATATCTATGACGATGAAGATATAATAGCTGTTACAATCTTTCAAAATGAAAATAATAAAAATTATATTTACAATATTGAAAATTATGTTGAATATGTAGTAACATCACTCAATAGTGCATCTTTAAATCGCATTTTTATATGTAAGTAATACTATTAATAATAATTTTATTATAACTAATTTGTTGTCTTATTGTTAGTGTAACTAATTTGTATGTTATCATATTGTATTAAAAATCAGAAATTTATATTTATTTATATCATGTAACTTGCGATTGTTTGACAATTGGAATGCTACCTAGACACTGCTAAGCATGCAATACATGCAACTTCCCGCGCTTTATGAAAATTCAAATAATGCTTCGACCGTACTACCTCTCCGGAATATTGGAAGCGAAATGAAGGGGGATATATGTGACGTTATTTATACTGTTGAAATGTTTCCAAATGTTAAATCGACCATACTCGAAACGCGCTTCGTAGCATCTATAACATCTGCCCGATCGCACTCTATACAGGGTGAGCCATTTTGAGATACCCACCCCAATAACTTTTTTATTTTTGAATGTATAACAAAATGTTTCAAATAAAAGTTGCTCGACTTCGAGGGGGACCAAAGATGGTGGCAAAAATTTGACCTTGAATAGTCATTTGAAGATCACATAAAGATCACCTTCAATTTCTTAAATGGAACCTCCAATTTTTCATTGCATATTCTTGTAGCTTACCTCGAGAGCTTTCCAAAACACTATAATAAATTATTTTTCCATAAAGTACTTTTCGAGGCTATGAGGCTTGAAATCATTTCTTAATTGTACATAAACCATAAAATCTTGTAAAATATTCATTTTTCGATTATTTTACCTTAATACTTTTATGTACAAAATAATGAGAGGAATCAATTGGTGTAAAGAAAACATATAGTTGTTTTTAAGAAAAAATATGGAATTGTTAATTACAAATTATTTTTTTTTTAGAAACAACTATGTGTTTTCTTTACACCAATTGATTCCTCTCATTATTTCATATATAAAAGTATTAAGGTAAGATAATCGAGAAATGGATATTTTACAAGATATTTTATGGTTTATGTAAAATTAAGAAATGATTTCAAGCCTTATAACTCGAAAAATACTTAACGAAAATGTACTTAATTATAGGTTTAAAAGGTACTTAATTATATGTTTTGGAAAGCTTTCGAGATAAGCTACAAGAATATGCAATGAAAAATAGTAGGTTCCATTTAAGAAATTGTAGGTGACCTTCAAATGACTATCCAAGGTCAAATTTTTGCCACCATCTTCTGTCCCCCTCGATGTCAAGCAACTTTTATTTGAAACATTTTGTTGTACATTTAAAAATAAAAAAATTATTGGAGTGGGTAACTTAAAATGGCTCATCCTGTATAATTTTTACAAAGACATAAGAAATATCAAAACAACATACAAGTCATTCTTGTTTCATTGAGCTAATTTCACTATAAGAAAGTAAATAATGTTATACGAAAACGTCTATACATATGTATATAATTTATGTATATTTTAGAAAGTATAGTATATTGTAGTTTATTTATAGTAGTTTTATTATATTGTATATTGTAGTCATAGAATTACATATTATTTGTTAGATGATTTTTTGTTAATTTTTTTGTATTTTGTTAACTTTCTAATAATTAATGAGCGCCGATTAAAACCTTCACAACATTAGTCACAATGATGATTTTGATAATATAAGATTTATTATACAGGATGCAAAAATCGTTACATGGAATAGGACTTCTTTATTTAATTTGCTTGGTTCAAAGTAAGAAGGAAGGTCCTATACTATTTTGCGATATCCGCAATAATTAACGAAAAAATTAATTAAAGAAGATCGAGCAATGCACGTGGTTAGAAGCCACTGTTACAGTGAAATCGCCTTCACAGCCTCGCACTTTTAGTCACGCGTATTGGCCGATCTTCTTTAATTAATTTTTCGTTAATTATTGCGAATATCGCAAAATAGTATAGGACCTTCCCTCTTAATTTGAACCAATCTACCTTCAAACTAAGGGACTGCGAACAATTTCCTGACACCCTGTATAATATTATGTAGAATATTATATAAGAATTATTGAAATCGGGAGCTCCCATACATGTGTTTTTTTATAATTACTTTATTTTTTATCAAGGAATATATTGTATATATTGGTGAACCAAATTAATTAATATCCTGTATACATATAATCACAACATAAATGATAAACAAATACCACACACACACACACACACGCGCACACACACACACACACACACACACACGACATACATCTATGAATTTAAAAATAATTTACACATACACGAACATACATATATACAGGGTGTCCAATTTTAATCTATCACCTCTAGTGACTCTAGGGAGCGGTAGAGAAAAATGTTTCAAACAAAAGTTGTTTGATTTGAAAGAGGACATAAGATGATTGGTGTGATCTTGGATAATTGTTTGGAGGTCACATGAAGATTACCTTCAATTTTTTAAACGGAACTCCTTATTTTTTATTAAATGGAACCCCTTATTTTTATATATTTTTATATATTCTTGTATCTTATCTCGAGAGCTTTCCAAAACATTATAATAAAGTATTTTTTCATTGAGTACTTTTCGAGTTATGAGGCTTGAAATAATTTTATAAGCTTGAAATTTCTTAATTTTACATAAACCATAAAATATTTTGTAAAATATCCATTTTTCGATTATCTTACCTTAATACTTTTATGTACGAAATAATGAGAGGAATCAATTGGTGTAAAGAAAACACATAATTGTTTCGAAGAAAAAATATGTAATTTGCAACTAACAATTAAACATTTTTCTTAAAAACAACTATGTTTTTTCTTTACACCAATTGACTCCTCTTATTATTTTGTATATGTATAAAAGTATTAAGGTAAGAATTGAAAAATGAATATTTTACTAGATATTTTATGGTTTATGTAAAATTATTTAATTAAGAAATTATTTCAAATCTCATAACTCGAAAAGTATTCAATGAAAAAATACTTTATTATAATGTTTTGGAAAGCTTTCGAGATAAACTATAAGAATAAGTAATAAAAACTAAAAGATTCTGTTTAAAAAATTAAAGATGTGACCTTCATCTGACCTTTAAACAATTCAAAGTCAAACCAATGATATCATCTTATGTCCCCCTTTGAGTCAAACAACTTTTGTCTGAAACATTTTTTCTAATCTTTTTTACTTTAGAGATATTTAGCTGCAGGACACCCTATATATGTATATTAAATTAAAAATTTCAACATTTTTAATTATTATACTTATACCTTTAATTTAATTATATTTTCATTTATGTTATATAATTTGTTATATTTATTTTATTTTCACAATTTAAATAAATTGAAATATTAATAATTGCATTACAATCTATTTTAATATCTAGTAAAACGTTAATATTTAGATAAAAGATTCCCATCTCAAAATATGTATATAATGTAAAATCATTAATTTCTCTAGTCAAATCTTTATTTAAGTCATTAATTGTATAAAAGATACACGGAAATATAATTTATATTAGATAATTTCTTTTTAATTATAAATAATTATTAATAATATCCTATATTTTTTTTTTAATTTACATTAAATTTTAAAAGAATATCGTATAGAGGAGGAGAAAGAGAAGAATTTATATTTCTTTCCTTAAATATTACGACTCGTACATTTTTATAAAATAATATTAAACATTAGTAATATTAAGCATTAAACATTAATAATATTAAAAATAAATATAACAAGAAATAAATGAAAATAACATTATTTTTATAATTAAATAACTATTTTTACAAATTAAATAATTATCGAACTCGGATATTATCGGATGTGTAATTTGAAATAAAATGGCATTTATATTATTTTGAATTTCTTATTTTTTAATTATAAGTAAATTCGGCTTCATTTTGTAATAGAATAAATAAAATAAATTTGATTAATAACGAAATTTTGAATAAACTCGATTAATAACGAAAATCATAACAAGTGATATTCATTTAAACAACTTAGTATCGTAAAATATATACATATATTAATACTAAATATCTGGAAAATACACAATTTTCTAATGTTGTCATTGAGTTTTTTACTTTTATCAATGTACTAATAATATTTTATTTTATTTTATATTTAGGTAGAAGCTGTGCACAGTTTTTAGTTTACCATTGAGCTGTCTTCTGAAGTACACATGCTGTCTCCAAATTAATTAATTTATTAATTTATTTATTTATTGTTATTTATATATATATATATATATATATATATATATATATATATATATATATACGATGTTCGGATATTCAACCAACTTATGCGCAAAGTACTAAAATTATTCCCCTTGCCAAAGGAAACAGTAAAGACAATTGGCGATTTCCTCATTCTTTTTGAGGAATGAAACGAGAGAGAACATATTGAAAGATTAAACATATTCAGAAAGCATAAGGATAATATTTCCATCTTCTTGATTAATCCATTTTATGTTCCCTTTGGAAAAGGAAAAAAATCTTAGTACTGAGTATAGAGAGTGTAGTCGGCCACTTAATTGGTATTTTTCGACAAACAGTACATCATGCGTTATTCGAAATAAACGCTTGTAACGTCATATACATGGCAAGTTGTTTTATTTAGTCCTAGATTATAAGCGCCAATTCTACTCTCATTTTGCTGCCATCTTAGATTCGTATATCAATGGTGCTCATAGACATATATAATTTATGTATATGAACAGCTCCAACTCAAAATCTCTACAGTGCAGGTCTAAGATGGCTGACAACCAATTAAAAAGCAGAGACAAATTAACGTTTCGTTTGTCTGAATCTAAGACTTTGTTTTGTGCCATCGACATTCCCAACATTATAACAATGTAACGACGCGTTTTCAATCCTACATCCATTTGCAAAAAATGATCTTTAGGATGCCTCCGACAATCTCTGAAAGTTTATAGGTTGAATATCCGTTGATTCTATACAGGGTGTCCCATTTTAATGTCCCATCCCAAATAACTTTCTTATTTTTAATTTTAGAAAAAGATGTTTCAGACAAAAGTTGTATGGTTTCTAGGGGGATATAAGTTGATGTCATTAGTTTGACCTTGAAGAGTCACATGAAGGTTACATGAAGGTCATTTTGAATTTCTTAAATGGAACACTATATATTTTTGCATATTCTTGTAGCTTATCTCGACAGCTTTCCAAAACACTATAAATAAACATTTTTTCATCAAGTACTTTTTGAGTTATGAGGCTTGAAATCATTTCTTCATTTTACATAAACCATAAAAGATCTTGTAAAATATTCATTTTTCGATCTTACCTTAATACTTTTATGTATAAAATAATGAAGGAAATCGATTGGTGTAAAGAAAACACATATTTGTTTTTTAAAAAAATATGTAATTTGCAATTAACAATTACATATTTTTTCTTTACTTGATGAAAAAATATTTATTTATAGTGTTTATATATAGTTTATATATAGTGTTTTGGAAAGCTCTCGAGATAAGCTACAAGAATATGCAAAAATATATAGGGTGCTCCATTTAAGAAATTAAAAATGACCTTCACGTAACCTTCATGTGACTCGTCAAGGTCAAACTAATGGCACCTTCTTATGTCCCCCTAGAAACCATACAATTTTTGTCTGAAACATCTTTTTCTAAAATTAAAAATAAGAAAGTTATTTGGGGTGGGACATTAAAATGGAACACCCTGTATATATGTACACATAGGGTGGATCACTAAAGATATTACAGACTAATACTTCTGAAACTGAACGAAATATGAAATTCTTTTTCTTATTAATTATTTGGTATCGAAGCGGGTATGATCAAGTCAATTTTTTCTTAAGTGAAGTCATTAAGGTCTTTCAAGGTCTTTAAAGACACTTTAATTTTTTTAACTAACAATATGTATTTTCTATTATGTATGACTGTAGCTTTTATTAATGAATAAAATGACTACACATAACCAAAATTATACAATAAAAAGACAATATGAAATAGCAGAAGTGTTCAGTTCTTGTTTGAAATAGTTTTAAAAATAAATGCTCGAAATCATTCACAATATAAGTCTATTCGAATAAATGAATATAAGTCTATTCGATCAATCTTGCTTGAAAGTAAGAACTTCATATCGTTCATTTTCAGAATACTTAACATAAGTTATGTTCCAAAACGTAAGTAACCGAGGAAATTTTATTTGGATGACCATTCCGAAACTCTTTTAAGCTTTTCCGATTGGTTCAAATCGGCCATCGATAAGTAAAATTTCCCTCGGTTAATTACGTTTTGGAACGTAACCATAATAACATTTTTAATTCACAAGTTTATTTACATTATTATTAATATAATTTTCATTATTAATCTTAACTTATATAAAAGATATTCGAATTGTGTGAATGACGTAATGATTCGCAAGGTTTCTTGTTACCAGTGTTTGCTGTAGATAATTTCAAAATTATCTAGATAAAGATAAAGATAAAAATCCGTAAATTTATCTTAGATGAGATAAAGATGATTTTGCTTTTACTTTAAAGATGATTTTGCTTTTACTTAATCTAAATGAAAGATGAGATAATTATTGCGATAATCTAGATAATTATCTAGATTTTTTGTTTATTTTAGAAGACTATAAATATTTGTAAAAAAATGTGACGCAGATTATAAATGGGATATTAAAATCATAAACACATATTCTTTCTCTTTTCCTAAAGAATATTTAAATAATAGCAAAAAGATATATAAATGATAAATATTTATTTATTAATTTATATTTATAATATATTTATAATATATTAATGATATAATAATAATATATTTATAATAAATTAATAATAATAATATAAAAAATATATTTTAGATATTTTAGATAGATTTTTAGAAACTTGCCTGGAAAACTTTTTTGTATAATGAAAACGTTATCTTAGGCAATTTTTAGATAAGATGACATATATTTTTCATCTAAGATAAAGATAAAGATACTTTGTATTTCTTCATCTAGTTAAAGATAAAGATGATCCATTTCTTTATCTAGATGATTATCTAGATAATTTTATCTGGATACCAGCAAACACTGCTTGTTACAATAATTTTTCGATTACGCGATTCGAATATCAGAAAATTACAGCACTGCAGCACATTTTATGATGGAAAAATAATCTAATCCAGCCAGCAGCCAAACGACGATCGACGGTATCCGCGTCATTTTCTTCTACCTTTTCAGTAAAACAAAACTGACCAGTGACAAAATCCTGCTTCAGCCAGAACCAGCGGCTTATCGGACTGCATCATCGAGACTGACAAATAAAACGCACATAATGTCGGGACAACTGAAGCTGTCGGATTTCACGGAGGATCCTTTCCGGGACTATCGTTACGAGGACCTTTTCAATATAACGGACCCATTTGCCGATGAGACAGAGGACTTGAATGCGAATAAGAACAACGGCGCGGACAGAATGGAAAATCTTTTTGATTTCGGGACAACATCCACTTTCTCGGATAAAAATGCTTTATCGGTTAAAACGTTCGACAACGATTTCACGAGCACTTTTCCGCACATTAAAACAAAAGTCGAGAAGAGCAATATAAATAAATTCAATGTCGATTTCGGAAAAGCATTTTCTGTCGATAACAAAAACACTAGAGGTATTGAAACTGACTTTGCCAAAGTCAAGACGAGAACGATTGATCTCGATGAAGCATTTTCGATTAAAAACGCAAAAACTATCACGAAGCATGAATCAGATGTAGTACAGACTTCAAAGTATAATACTTGTAACGATGAGAAGCTAACGAATAATTTCGGCAAGATGTGGAATGGTAATAACGTAACTAACTTGTCGGAAGAAGAGCAATTAGCTTGGGCAGAGAAACAAAGTATAAAAGCGGAAGAGGAAAGGCTCAAACTTAAAGAAAAGGAAGACGCCGAATTAGCTCTAGCTATTGAACTGAGTCGACAAGGGAAATCAGAAAATGTTTGAAATTTAATCAGTATGCTATTTTTTTGTATTGGTATCACTCATAAAAATTCGTTAAATTGCATGATAAAATTTTACATTTCATAATATATAAAAGTATTGTTTAAGCTTACATGTATTTTCATCACATATAGAAACGAAATGTAGAATGCAAGTTATCAGACAATAACGTCGGATACAAACATTTCAAAATATCCAAAAAAAGAAAGAAGTTATATTGTATATTACTATATAATGTATTTTCGGTTTCGAAATATAATTCATTAAAAATCTTCCAATATTTTCAAAAGTAATCATTTGCAAAATCGATAGATTTGTTTTTTCTTCGATTTTTCCTTTGTTTTTGATTTTCTTTTCTTTCGATCATAACAATAATCTATGATTTATTTACGAGTATTATTTAATATTTGTTGTGAATACTATTACTTCAGGTACGCGTTATGCTATACATATTAAAGTCACAACTATACATGAAGGATATTAGATAAAAGTATAATATATAGGAAATTTATGTTGTACAAGTTATTCAATTATAGAGGAATATAAACAATAATATAATATCATTAAATGCATTATCAATATGTAAACATTCATATAATAATCGAAAATGTATATTATGAGATTTGAAACAATATATTCATTGCTAATTGCACAATCATTTGCCATATGAAAATTTAGGTCACTTTACCAGTTGTAACTTTATGTAAAAAAAGAAATGAATAAGTAAATATACATTATCGATGAAGAAAACATCAAAGTAATGTTTGCGACAATGCTATCTCTATTTTCAACTTTCGGTTTTATAGAATATACTATTGTTCCAAAGAATATAGTGTTCAGAGATGTGTGTTCTGTGCTTGGTGAAAAGGGCTTTATTTGATAACACTTGAAGACCAAACACGAAAAATCACGTCTATCTTTACTATGTTGTAGTATCGTATAATTTCGATAACGACGTTATATTTTATATAATGTGTATATATTATCATTACGATATATTAAATCGCGATAATTCTTATTATGTAAGTTTTCATGTCATAATTGTTTAGTTGTAAGATGTATACTATATGTGCAAGAATGTATTTTATTATAAGATATCATTAATAATATTGGTGCAAAAGCAAACTTATGTCAATACACCATTGTTACATAAATCTTTATTGAGGTATACACACACACATACACATATTTTTTTTTACTTTTATCTCATCTTCATAGGTTACAGTGTGCGCGCGTGTGTGTGTGGGTGTGCGTGGCTGGGTGGGAGGGTGTGCTTGCGTGCGTGCGTGTGCGTGTGCATGCGTGTGTGTGTGTGTGTGTGTGTGTGTGTGTGTACATGAATATGTATATGTACTATAGATACTCGTTACTTATACTGTAGATACATATAGGTACATATATATATGGTACATATTAAGATTTCACCAAAATAAATGTATAATACTTTTAAAAATATTCCATTTTAGTTTACGTATACATATAATTCGTTCGAAATGGACTAAGCAAGTTTTAAGTTTTTTTCGAGAAAAATCACTAAATCGTTGAGCAAATTTTCTAACTATTGATCACGTTTTATTTGGTTCTAGGTTTCAATTGTCATTCTCGTGATATATATAATATATATACATATACAGAGTGTCTCAAAAGTCTGGACACAGTCGAATATCTCACATAGAATGCATTTTAGAACAAAACGCTTTAGACAAAAGTTGTAAGGATTAAAAAGATATATTTAACTGTAACATCCATTTGACATTGAGTAACGTCGCCAAGCTTAGGGCAAGGTCAACTTGAATTTTTTAAATGGAACCCCCTATTTTTTATTGCATATTTTTGTAGCTTACCTCTAGAGCTTTCCAAAACACTATAATAAAGTATTTCTTCATTGAATACTTTTCTAAGTTACGAGGCTTGAAGTAATTTTTTAATTTTACATAAACCATAAAATATCTAGTAAAAAATTCATTTTTGGATTATTTTACCTTAATATTTTTATGTACAAAATAATGAGAGGAATCAATTGGTGTAAAGAAAACATACAGTTGTTTCGAAGAAAAAATATGTAATTTACAATTAACAATTCCATATTTTTTCTTCGAAACAACTGTATGTTTTCTTTACACCAATTGATTCCTCTTATTATTTTGTACATAAAAGTATTAAGGTAAAATAACCCAAAAATGAATTTTTTACTAGATATTTTATGGTTTATGTAAAATTAAAAAATTACATCAAGTCTCGTAACTTGAAAAGTATTCAATGAAGAAATACTTTATTATAGTGTTTTGGAAAGCTCTCGAGGTAAGCTACAAAAATATGCAATAAAAAATAGGGGGTTCCATTTAAAAAATTCAAGTTGACCTTGCCCTAAGCTTGGCGACGTCACTCAATGTCAAACGGATGTTACAGTTAAATATATCTTTTTAATCCTTACAACTTTTGTGTAAATCATTTTGTTCTAAAATGCATTCTATACGAGATATTCGACTGTGTCCAGACTTTTGGGACACCCTGTATATATATACATACACAGGGTGTCTTATTTTAATTTCCCCAAGCAAATATTTCGGAAAATAATGAAAAATCGAAAAAATGTTTCAAACAAAAGTTGTATGGTTTCTAGGGGGACGTAAGATGGTGCCGGTATTAGTTTGACCTTGAAGAGTCACATGAAGGTTAGGTCACGTGAAGGTCATTTTGAATTTCTTAAA